GGGGCCAGGAGTCCAGCACTTGCAGGCCCTTCCCTCCCAGCTGCTGCAGGAGCCGGCCTGGGCCCTGTTCCGTTCCACCTGGTGGCAGCTGTGTCCCCAGCTCCCCTCAAACCCAGCTGATTTTCAGCTCCTTGTCCTGTCCTCCTGGCAGAGAGCTGGGTGGGGGCTGCCCATACGCAGAGCATTTCCTAGTCCCTCGTGTCTCTGCCTCTGTCTGACTATGAAATGGCTCAGGATGCTCTTATTATCACCATGCCAGTGGTGACCTGCAGGTGTCAGGAAGTGCCCACTGCACGTTCAGCACTGCGCAGAAAGCAATTGGAAAAGACAACTTCACAGCGATCCCAGAGGGGACCAATGGCATCGAGGAACGGATGTCTGTCATCTGGGACAAAGCAGTGGTAAGAGCCAGCCCAGCAGCGAGTGGGCAGACTTGATGGGCAGCACTGTGTCCTTGCCCCAGCAGGGCTGAGTGCCCAGTGGCACGTCTGCTTTCTGCTTATGAGCTGAACCAAGCTGGAGCAGGAGAAACAGCTGCCACAGGGCGAATAGCCATGATATGTGTGCATAGCTCCAGCTTTTGGTCTGTCTAATGCCAGACCTGGGCTTTTCCTCTTCCCTTCCCCAAAAGGGTGCTTTGTTCTCTCTGTGTCTGAGCAGGCCACAGGAAAGATGGATGAAAACCAGTTTGTGGCAGTGACGAGCACTAATGCTGCAAAAATCTTCAACCTGTACCCACGGAAAGGGAGAATAGCTGTGGGCTCAGACAGTGATCTGGTCATTTGGGATCCTGATGCAGTGAAGATCGTCACGGCAAAAACCCACCAGTCTGTAAGCCCTCTGCTCAAGCTGGGAATGGGTGTGGGAAGTGCTACACACAGTGATCTTGGTGCAAGGAGCTTGGTGCTGCCCTGCTGGTAGATGCAGGCTCTGGGCAATGCAGGTGTGACTGCAGGATAGGATGCCTTTGAGCCTTGGGTTCTGCTTGCAGCATGTTTCTCACCGAGCTGCCTTGCGCTCTCCTTATGCCAAGCCTGCAATGGGCTTTTCTCCTCCTCTGAGTCCAAATTTTTCCCAGCTAAGCTGGGTTCTTGGTGTGATGGACTGGTGAAGGGCAGGAGGCCTTTGAGGCAGCAAGGCTATGCAGGTGTGCTCTCTCTGCCCTGGAGGCTTTGTCAGTGAGGTGAGGGGACTGAGCAGCCCTCACTGGGCAGATAGTGCTTGTGTTTCTCCTGACTGTCACCCCTGGTTGCTGCAGGCAGCTGAATACAACATCTTTGAAGGGATGGAGCTGCGTGGGGCCCCACTGGTTGTCATATGCCAGGGAAAGATCATGCTGGAGGATGGCAACCTGCATGTGACCCAGGGGACTGGGCGCTTCCTGCCCTGCAGCCCTTTCCCTGACTATGTCTACAAGCGGATCAAAGCCAGGAGAAAGGTGAGGAGATGGGGATGCTGGCAGAAAGAGCTGTGAAGCTGTTAACCCAAATTGCCCCTTTCCCAGCTAGCTGATTGTTTTCCCTCCAGTGTATCTGATAAGATGGAAAAAGTGCTGTAAACCTGCATGTGCTGAACCTACTGGGGATTGCTGAGTGCTGGGCAGAGCTGTGACCTCTGTGCTGGTGGTGTGCTATAGTGAGGGGAAGGACATGGGGCTGAGTCAGCAGTGAGTGCTGCAGGTCCACCTGCTCCCTTGTTGCCTTCCTGCTGCAGCAGGAACCTGCAGGGAAAAATTGAGTTAAAAACAAGGAGACTGAGCAAAAAAGGCCTTCATCTGCAGAAAATAAACCCATGTCAGGGGGTGCCTGTTGCATAGTCCCTCAGCACGCAGTGGGAGGCTGTTGTGTAGGAGGTGGGGCTGAGACCTCAATGCTTCAGAGAGGTCTTGGGCATGCAGGACAGGTGAGCACGGGATTGGCAGTGTGAGTGGCCTCTGCAGTGGGACTAGGGAGCCTGGAATCCATGTGCCAGGATGCTGGCGGCGTTGGTGGGCTCACAGGCATTGCAGAAGCATTGCAGTGTCACTGTGCCATTCCTCTCTGGTAACAGATGGCGGAGATGCACGCTGTGCCCCGGGGCATGTATGATGGACCTGTGTTTGACCTGACTGCCACCCCCAAGGGTGGCACCCCTGTGGGATCCACCCGGGGGTCGCCCACACGGCAGACACCCCCTGTGAGGAACCTCCACCAGTCGGGGTTCAGCCTGTCAGGTAAGCATGGCACTGGCAGAGAATGGTGCCTTGGGCCGGGGGGCTGGGCTGCAGCCATAGTGCAGCACTGGGCTTCTGCTTGTGCTGTGTGGGTCCACACGTGGAGGACCATCTGCTCTGGGAGTGGCCACTTCTCTCCTTGGGGTCCTTCCTCAGTCAGAGGCAGAGAGGTTCCCATCGGTGGCCCAGAGCCTTTCATCAAGACCCCAGCCTTCCCGGTGGCTGAGTGGGAAAAATCCTCTTGGTGTCACTTTCCCTTTCCCTCCGTGCTCCAGGTACCCAGATTGATGAGGGCATTCGTTCTGCCAGCAAGCGCATTGTGGCACCGCCGGGAGGCCGCTCCAACATAACCTCCCTCAGCTAAAGCCCCACACAGAGAGGGCAGTGATCCCTGTGCAAGCAAAGGAAGAAAAAGGGGTGCATTGGTGTTTAAGAAGGAAAAGCAAATAAACCTGTTCTGAAGAATCAGTAAGCCTCAAGCCTTACTTTTCACAAAAGCTACTTGCTACCTAGCTTTAAAGATGTTGCTTCATTTTATTTTATGCATAGCCTTAAAATTCTGTTGTTGTTGTTGTGGGTTGGGTGGGTTGTGTTTCTCCTCTTCCTTTTGTATGCATGCCGCTCAGACAGGTCACTTGGTTCAGGTCGTTGTTGGTGTTGAATGCTTGTGGGCAGGTGGGGGTGCAGTGTGAGCCCGCCGTGTTCCTTTGTCTTGGCTCTCAGCAGTGTTTCACCACGATGCCCATTAAGGAGCCCAGAACATCTCTGTAACAGCTGTCACAGCACCTCATGTAAGGAAATTTACGACTTTGTACACTTTATTAAAAAAGAAAGGAAAAAAAAAAACAACTGTTCCTCAAATAACTTGTTGTCATGGCTGCTTTTTTCCACTCTGAGCTGTGGCTGCCTGCCTGGCCCTGGGGACAGCAGGGGCAGAGAGGCTGTGTCCCAGGGGCAGGATGTGTGCAGGGCTCCTGGAGCAACTTGGGGCTGTTTGAGCTGAGGGAGGTGTACAGCCAAAGGGAGTCTGTGTGCAGCACTGGGGGACCAGTATGGATGCTGGGACAGTGTTGCTTCTTGGGCAAAAGCAAAAGTATTAACAGAACAGCTTGGAGCTGGTGCTAGTGAGACTGTTCGCGTTGGCCATGCTCTCTGGCCGCTGCCTGTTGTGGCCGTTGCGGGCTGTGCCTGCCAGCTGTGTGGTGACGTGGCCCAGGCCTTCCCAGCTGAGGCTGATGGTGAGGTTGTGGACACCTGTGAGTTAATTGCTCTCCCTGTGTCAGGTGGTGTCCAACTGTGGGTCACTGCCTTCTCCAGGTTGCAAAGCATCCAAAAAAATTAGATTGTTTTTTACATATTAGAAAAAATTGAGTGTCAATCTAAGCAGTGCTAAATAAATCCTTTTTTTTTTTTTTTTTTTTTCCTGAAGTATTTGACCCTGAAATATTTATTTTTGCATGCCTGTAGCTCAGACAGGATGAGTCGTCTGTGCAGCAGTCCTCAAAGGGGCTGAGCCAGAATAGTTGTGCCGGGGTCAGGATAACTGCTCATACTTGGAAGTTTTGTGAACTTCTGCTATGAAGTAATTAGAGATTTTTTGCTGCTGCCTTTTAGTGATTAAGCTGAGACTGTGCCTCAGAGATTGTTTTAGAGATCTTTTGGGGAATTTTTAAAGGTGCAGCGTTCTCATACAACTTCTTCAGGGTTTTGGGTTTTTTTGTGTGTGTGTCAGCTAGTACAACAGCACTGATCTTTGTCCTAGCCAGGAGCAGGGCCAGTTCCCTTGTCTGGGTTTATGGCGTGTGAACCTCTCCTAGGTGGCTGTAGCCCAGTGCTTTGCAGGTGACAGGTATGGCTGTTGTCACAGCCTGGCTTTACTCAGCCCTCCCAGACCTTTTCTGCCTTGCACTGCAAGTGACCTCAGAAGAAACAGTGGCTTTTGGTTACCTGGGAAGGAGTCTTTCATTTGCTGTCTGTTTTATTTGGAGTTTTTTTAATTAATCAGATTCAGCCAGAGGAGAGAGACAGGAAGGCACAGGGGATACAAGAACCCTTGGGCAAATGGGAGACAGACAGTTCATCACATGTTTATTATATTGCTGAGATTAGGAAAAATGTCAAATAAAGAGGTGAAAGGTTTGGTCTGCAAAAACATTTGAATAATAGCATAATACCTAGCATTTATCATAATAGAGATGCTTTGGTCAATCTCACTCTTGGCAAAGCTTGCACCAGGAGCACAGCTGTTGCTGCTTAAATCAAGTGTGAAGACAACAGCAGAGAGATGAAAAGTACGCATTCAAATTTACCTCTGATGTTGGAAGCCACGACCCATCAGACTCAGAAATTTGCAGCAGTTTAACATGTTTGTGAATGGCTTTTCAGGATGGCCTGGAGAAGCTCTGGGATGCTGCTCATGGGCTGTCACTGTATCACTTCCCTGTTCAGCTCTGTGCCTGCCTGGCTCTGCACCAGGTGGCTCTGCAAGCAGTGAGGAGTGGGAGCATGAATGGAACCTCACTGCCCTTGCCCAGCTGGGGAAGAGGCTTGCTGCCAGCACCAGCCCTTCTGAGGATGTTTGCAGATCTCTGCAAGTTGAGGCTACTGCTGCGTGCCACTGAAGGCGCCACAAGTCAGAGCAGTGTTTTCCACCTGGAAAAATCAGCTCCATGTAGGGACCATGCAGGAATCCTGGCCCAAAGAGCCAGGGCTCACAGCTGCAGATCCCACCATGACAAGGGCTGGTGGTGACGTTCTGCGGGTGGGTGCCTGGTACTCACTAGGCTGTGATACCAACTGGCCAACCCCAGTGGAAGAGTGCTGAGCAGCTCACCCTTCTCACGCAGTCACATTGCTGCTGTCATGGAAGGCAAATTCATGGGCTGCTTCTAGTGAATGGTGGCAAGCTACAGGGGCGGTCCCAGAGCTTCCTGCTGCCAGGGCTGTGGTTCTCAGAGGTTGTTGTTCTGGCTGTCCTTGTGCATGCCTCTGCACTTGGCCAGCGCTGCTTGCTGCTGGATCTCGTTGTGCTGGTGTCTCACCCTAGGGCAGAGCAGGAGGCAGAGCTGTTGGTGGGCCTGGGGATGCCTGCAGGCTGCCCATTCGCACTGCCTGCCCCAGACCAGCTTCTCTAGGCACCTCCTTGCTGCTGGGGCAGCTGGCCCCAGAGACCCGGCCACGGCAGGGTTGTTATGGACAGGATGCCAGCCCGGCCTCAAACCAGCATTAGCAACGTCGCTGCTCATCCCTGTTCACTGGCCAAAAGCTTTTACTCTGCAACAGGATTTGGTACGCTGCCTTTTTATCAGTACTTACTTTTCTCTGTTGAAAACAATGAAGTCCCTCTGGAGTGTCTCTAGATGCTTTTGAAGATGGCAGGCCTTTCGCATTTGAATAGGAAAAGATGAAGAAAAATTGAATAAATTCACAGTTGGCACAAAAAGATGTTGCAAGGGCATTTTCAAGGAGATACAGCAATATCTTTAGCTCCAAAGCAACACCAGCACTGCAGTTGGGAGAATGGCATTACAACTCTCCTCACATAGAACTCAGTAGGTATACAGGCTTCAAATTATATGTTGGATTTCCACAGGCATTTTTCTATTGCAGAAAAAGCTCAGACTTCAGAAGCATAAAACTGCTCATGCAGCAAAGCCTTCCAGGGCTCAGGTGTACCCCAAGAGCTCCTGAACCATGCAAGAGGGAGGCAACAGCTCAGGACCTGTATCATGCTAATTCTTGTGGAAGGTCTACATGAAAGAAGCCATTCAGGCTCAGGTTGCTTGTGTTAACTGCATAGCTGTATGCCCAAACAAATGTATGACTCTTGTCTCAACACTGCAATTTATCCAGACTCTTGCCATTGGGATGGAAAACAAGTGTTTGGCTCCAGTGCCAATGGAGGAGGCTGCAGGCTGGGAGTGCATGAGAAAGCCAAACCCTACGCAGGGCCAAGCCCTGAGAGCCCAATCCATCTTTAAGTACTGAAGATGTTCAACAGCACATCTGATCTTTAATTTACTTTATTACAGAAATGTTCAATAGTGAACAATTAAGGGGCATGAAAAATAATGAAGCTTTATGAAAGCCAAAGCGCTCCTTATGATCTACAGAGGAAATTCTGGCACTGTTGAAGCCAGTAGGAATTTTGACATCGATTCCTGTGTAGGACAGTATCTCAAACTCAGGACCTGGCTAAGCTTGCCCTCTGATACCAGCTTGCATGTTCAAAGCACAGACTCTTCTCAGATTACTGTTGGCCCTGGAAATGTTCTTTGTTTTCGCAGCACCTGAGACAGAACCAAAGAAAGAGTTCCTACCCAAAAAGGCTCTCCAGCATCATGAAACCTGCCCAATGCTTCTGGAGTGTTTTGCATCTTAGAAACTCTTAATGCAATATTCACGTGTTACCATTCCCTCTTTCTAGAGGATGTTTCAGAGGAAATAAAATAGAAAGGTTTCTGCTAATACAAAACAGTAACAGCCTAACTGGAGGTTTGGAAAAGCAATAGTGTGTGTTGGTTGATGCACTGTGAGGGGTGCAGCTGGGTGAGGGATGGGGGGATCTCTTGGGAATAAAGCTGGTCAGAAGGAAAAGAGACAGTCTGTCAAACAGGTTGCTGCAGTACTGCTAAGTGATAGTTGGCTTTCACACAGAATGAAAGCCTTCCTTCACCACACGCATGCACCTGCTTGCTCTTACCTGTGAGGAATTGCTTTTGTTGATGTCTTTCTCCTTCTTAGCCAGGCGCTTCTTCTTCTTGTGAAGAGGTTTGGACTCCAGGATCATCTCTTCAAGTTCAAAGGTTGGGTCACAGTTCAGTCTTCCTTTCTGGAGGGGAAAGAAATGTTGCCTTAAGTGAGCAGTGCTGGTCATTAATTGGGCAGGTCTGGGATCTGGGTTTTGTAAAAAATGAACTAATTAGAACTGCACACATAGCTGGAACAGCTGCTGCACATCCGACATATTTCAGCACTTCCCTCAGCTGGGGGAGCGCTGTCAAGGTGTGTTTGCTCCCTTTACACTTACTACTTACATTTAACCCATTGGTTGCTTCAAAGTGACAGCCTCAGTTGAGGCCGTGCAGAATCCTGCATGATGAGTTTTGAAGCAATACACATACATCCACAATAGAAAGCCACTGACGGAGGGGAAATATGTGCAGTTAAATATTCATTCAGTTTAGCTCACCATTTGTTTGGTTGCAAGTGAAAAACGGCTGGAGCATCACTGTACAGAGCAGTCCTTGGATTATTTTCAAAGAGGGTTACGTTACCTCTGTGCTGCTTTAATTTGATTAAAAAAGAATCAGAAACCTGAATCTACCGTATTTGTTCTTTTCCTGTGAACAATGGACTTGTTAGGGAGAGTCACTTCAGGAAGAAACAGTTCTGTAATGGACAGTGATCTCCAGGCTGCTAACGAGCCCTCAGCTCATTATTTTTTGCATTAGGAGTGCTGGTCCTAAACAGGGCTGCTAGAGAAGGTGGTTCATTGGAGGATGGCTCAAAACGAACAGCATCCTGTATTTTATCTGCAGCGCCAATGGTGCTCATGCCCTGTAAGTCCACGTGTGCGCACAGAAACTGAGATTATTATAAACAGAGGGGATCACCTTTGGGGCGCCCATTCCTTGCAGTCACCACCCATTAACCCTCATCAGATTCACCAGAAAGTGAAAATCGTGCTCTTGCCTGTCCTCCCCTGTGCCAAGGGCACCTACTGTTTTTATGGAAATGGAGAGATGTTCCCACTGTGATTTGGTTGAAGGCACAAGGACAGGATGCAGGCTGTGACTGGGACTGGGCACCTTAAGGACCTTTCAAACTTAACACTGCTCACCGTAGGAATGAATTCTGGCATTATCCTCTTCTGGAGAACAGCATTCCAGTTTACATCTGACAGATAGGGAAAGTCCTGGATATCTTTCAGCTGAGAAAAACGCTTATCAGGATTTGTCTCGAGCAACTGTAGCAAGAGTGAAAGGAAAGAGGTTAGAATGAAAATGGTGTGCCTGCTCAGACTCTCCCACAGTCCTGCCCTCCCATCCTGACCACATGAAATTGCATAAATTTCATGGCATTGAGGGATTTCAATATTATCAGCATTTTTTTGCAAATCTTTTCATTATTGGAAAAAATCATAAAATGTTTATGCAAGTTTTTAGTCAAATTTGTGGACATATGTATCAGTACTTCTAAGTTACATCACTCCAGATGGACGAAGTTGTAGGAGAAACCCTGGAAGTGAACGCTGTGTCCTCAGCAGAGATCCATCCTGGGCTGCCAACGTGAGCACCATCACCATCAGCACAGAGAGCAGTGCTGTTGGCTGATGGCGACATTAACGAGCTCTGTCATTAAAAGCTGGCTGTTTGACATACAGCACTACCTGAAGGTCACCAGCACTGAGTCTGGATACAGTTTTCAGTGAATCTCCACCATTTCCCTCAAGGAAATGTCAGTGGGGCGCAGTGGAAGTGGATCCCAGCCCCGACGTGCTCCAATGCCACAGCAGCCCTCACCTTTTTGATCAGCATCACCATTTCCTCAGACCAAGCAGCAGGGTACATCACTGTAGCAGTCTTAAATACGTGAGCAATTTCATTTGTGGAAGTGTTGGAGCGAATGTGATACGGCCTCTGTGAAAAGTGCAACAAGGAAAGCATTTTAGTGTATCTTTTCAGCTCCTTCAGAAATCTTTTCAGAGCAAGGCGGCTCCAAACAAAATCTCTAAGCACATTCCCCAACCCCCCCACTGAAATCTCTGCCTGTCAGGTCTTGAGCTCATCTGAAATAAGCACAGTAATGATGCCAGAGGACAGCAATAATGGCTGGGTGACAGATAGGAGCCATCAGTCAGTGTCCAGCTTTGTCTTCCTCAGCCTCGCCAGCGTTCCCAATGTTCCCGTAAGACGCCTCTGTGTTTTCAGTTCTTTGCTCTGTGTTTTCAGTTCTTTGCTCATATTGGCTGTGACAGAAGGGAAATGGAGCGGGATTTTTCACGCCTCATGGAAAAGCACCGTCCCAACAAAGGCTGAGAGCCGCCGGTCCGGCACTGCAGGACGCTCTGCCTGCGTGGCTGCGCGGCAGTCGGGCACCCGACCCTGAGCTGCCGGGCTGCATGCGGGGAAACAGCCACCTCCCAGCCCCTGCATGGAGCAACCGCACTGCTGTGCTTGGATACTGCGTGCAATGGAAGAGCGCTGCTGGGAAGCATCATTAACTCCCGGATTTCTACAGTGTGTGCGTGGGGAGCTGCTACAAGTGCATTTAAACAACACGGGCACGATGTCAGATGCAACTGCGTGCATGGTGCCACCACACACAGGCACCGAAGGCACCTCGAGGTCCGCCCAGTGCCACTGCTGTCAGAGCTGCCACTGCTCACCGCTGTGCCGCGACCCCCTGAGTCCCTCACTATGTATCCACTGCTACCACCAAGTCAAAAATCCAATGCCATGGGCAGTCCTGCGATTAATTTAAATTTACAAATAGAAAATTCAGATTTGTATTAATATAAATACAAAAAGTCAGTTCAGACTGACATCCCCTTAATGTGTGCTGTCAAGATTGCTCACCCTCTGTTCTTCACATTTTTGTGAAAAATACTTTTAGGCTCCCTGCAAAAATTGGCTGCAGCATTTTTTAAAGGTGTTTTGCCCTCCTTTACCAAACAGAGCCTTCAGCCTCTCAAGGTTTTCAATCGCCTTTAGCTTAGAAGAATGTCATTCAAAAAATGGTATCCCACTTTTTACACAGCGCTTCCAAAGCACTGCTCTGATCAACTGCCTGCAAGTAAGGTCACCTGAGAAGCCCTCAGACAGAGCAAGGAGCTGCTGCGATGTGCTCTTCTGAATGGCAATGTGATCATATCTGTGATCACAAAAGCTCTGATGAAGATTTGATTTCTGCTGCCCATGCTGTAATAAACCTTAGGGCCTAAAATCTGTCTCAGAACTTTCCTCCCTGTTGCAAAGCATCAGCCCCTCCAACAGCATGCTTAAGGAAAGAGAGGGACAGAGGCATCAGCACTGTGTGCTCCGTACCCGGGCCCTGAGCAGCTCATAAGCAGTGATTCCAAGTGACCACCAGTCCACAGCAAAGGAATAGCCGATGGGTTTTGTAGAGTTAAACATCTCAGGTGCTGTGAAATACAGAAAAGAGATCATTCACATTGTTGCAATCCTGAGTTAAAAGCAGCAGTACAGAATGCTTGATCCAGTGACACAGAAAGCATCCCAGGGCACAAATCAGCAGATCACCTTGTAGCAGAAATGATGAGTTATGGGCTGAAGCAGTGATTGGGCACCTGGTGGGAAGGCAGGGCCAACCCAGGGGAGCTCAGCTATATGCAAGGTACTTGACGGAAGGGCTGGAGCCAGGATCTACCTCTTCCCAGCCCAGAGGTGAGGGTGTTTCTCTGGAGTTCCCTGCAAACCTGAGGTCTTCTAAAGGTAAGCAGCATTTTGTGTGTGTGTGCGTTGCATTTGGGCTTGTCCTCGTTTGCTGTAGTCAAAGACTTAGCTACTCTGCTATCAGTGCTCTCTGTTGCATTATAGCATTACACACCCATTTCTGCTTTTACTTTGGAACAAGAGTACATGGCTGGTCTATTGGCCCCTTACTAAGGGGTGCAGGGTGCTACACAAGCTTGAAGCATGGGCTTGCTTGTACCATTTCATTCTTCAGTCTTTGTTAGGCCACACAGTAGCTGTCTCAGAGCAGCCACCAATGTGATGTGAATGTCTATATGAGAAATATAATCCAAATTATTTGCATTACAGAATGCTTATGTAACTCCCCAAACCATGTAGAGGCTCTCCAGGCTCACTTTCCCGTATCACATAAAGCACCCAAAGTTCTGAGTTCTGGTGTGTTCAGGCAAGGAGAGGCACAATTTAACTGAGCAGAGTCTGAGAGCCACAACCTTTCAGGGCAGGTCAGCGATACGGAGTGGGCAGGGGCTGGAAGGCTCCTCCTCAGCCAATACATTTCCCTTCTAAGATGAAGAGAATAAAATACTGTAGTTATTTTCCTACAAGATGGGTAGGAAGAACTGCTCTGAATAAAATAAAACCAAACCCAAAGAGCAGCATTTTCCTTTTGTGCATTTGCTCCTCTTCACAGTGATTGCGCCAGGTGGTGCTGAGGTGGTCCTGCTGAGAAGGAGCCTCCTTGTCCTCCTCCCCAGGGCCTGATGTCTGCAGAAGCTTTGGGAAGGGATTTGTGCTGAGCCCTTTGAGAAGGGCTTTGTGGGAGACTGCACTGGTTTGTGAGAGTTTTGTTTTTAGTGTTAGCTGTATAGAAAGACTTCTGGGTACTTTTGCTTCACTCAGAAGCATCACGCTCCTGCTTTCTTCAATGCAAAGGCTTCTCTGTGTGACGTTTCCACCTGAGCTCCATTAGCATTCACCTGGTTTCTCTGTGGTTCATTTCCTGCATACTCCAGCCCTGATTTCTCCCAGGTACATCAGTGGTATTCTGCTCTATCAGCTGTGCTTGTGTGATGAGGAACTGGGGTGATGTTTTACCATGGTTATCGATTCAGGTCTGGAGGATGGCAGTTCAGGAGCACAGTGTTCGTTGGCTCTTACCCATGTACGGCTTTGTGCCAGCGATTGTGGTGACTTGAGTTTCTTTAGTCAGCATTGTGGCAATGTTGAAGTCGGTGATGTGCACGTGTCCTGGAAGGCAGAGATTGAAGTGTAAACAGATTTGCTTTAATTTCACAAAGAAATAACCTTCCATCAGAAGGTTATCAAAGTAAAGTATCCAATGGAAAGTAGTTTCCATGTGGAAATTTCTCATGCCAGAACTGATAGAAAGCATTTAGCTCATAGGCTGCTTATAACTGTATCTTGTTAGAGGAAATAACCCTTATTTATCCTCTGGGAGTGAAATATCAGTGTTTTCACAGTTGTCACTGTGCACTGTTTTCTGTCTTTGAATGTGCCTTGTGATGTTTGTGAGCTCGTTTCAGTGGTGTTTGTTTTATCAAGGATTTCTTGGTGTTTTTGAGCATGGTTTCTGCTCAATGTGCTGCAATGTGTGCAACTATTGCCTGCAAACTGAGAAGGAAATGTGAAGATGAATGTGATAAGCAGGGATGAGAATAGAAACACCTCCACGGGGCTTGTGGCTGATTGGTTACTTTTTCTTTTTTGACAAGTACTTAATTTATTACTCCTTATTCCCTGAACTATCAGTGAGCAAACCCATGGAGTACAGCAGTGCAGGTAATCAATACGGGGCCGACTTCCCTGAAGTGAACTTCTTTGAACCTTAGAGGTTAACCTGGCCTAATTCTTCTGATTAAATGCTGGCTTCTTCCTGGTCTCGTGCATTTTCTCGTAAGGCAATGAACTACTTAATCTCTGACAGTGTTGGACTCATAATTAAATCCAGGGAACGCTGTGATGTTGTTTTGCAGACACTGCCACAGGGGGTGGCTGAATTGCTGTTGTTTTCTTAACCACAGAGATCAAATGGAAGTGGTTTTTACTGATGGAGGTGCTGGGACAATATTCACTCGTGAATTTCAGCAGCTGGAAATTCATTGCTGCTTTACTTCATGAGTTAAAGTGGAATGTGGTTGTCCTTATGGCTAAAAATCTGTGCTTTGGCAGTGAACATATGCTGTCCTCTCTGGATGCCATAAAATATTGAAGCCAATCCTTACATTTGCACAGAAATATATTATGTGTGAGCAGTGACCAAATTTGCCTGCTGCAAATATCTGATCTAGCTGGAGAAAACAAGGGAACAGAAGTACAGTTCGTTATTAGCTAGAAAATCCTGCATCACATCCCTGTTCTGCACGCAGCTTTCCAACAACACTGCATAGAGTGCAGAAGCTCTCTCTCCCCTGCCCTGAATCAGCCACGGTCAGAGCACAGCATGGGTGTGCAGGGCAGGCGGGCAGCCCACAGTACCATTGGTCTGGGATCATTCCTCAGCCACTGAACTTCCAGCCCCATATCAGCATCTGGAAAAGACAAACTCATCCTCTGGCCCCCTCCCATGAGTGGCTGTCTGGTGTTTCAGCAGCTTCGTTTTCTGTCAGATTCAGCTGAAGCTGCGCACTGCTCACAGGACAGCCTGTCTGCCAGTTGTCCAGTTCATTGGGGCAGACCTTTCTTCACTGCGTGCTCTGTGGGCTGTTAGTTCCACTGAGACACAAAACAGCTCCTTAACAGAGCTGTGGTGCTTTCAGGCTCCATTCTGAAGGAAGAAATGCAGAGGTCTTTCTGCGAGCCATGTGAACTGCTGGAAGACCCTGGGTGAGAGGCAAAGAATCTCTCGCATGCTGCAAGTTTGCAGCACGTCCCTCCTTGCTGCTGTCAGTGCTGTACAACATCAGTCAGGTCCTTGCTTCCTCCCTTCCTGTGAAGGAGTTGTGATCAGATCGCTGGGGAGTGCTTGAAAGGAAAGGATGATACAGAATTTTCTTGTCTTGAGATGTCCTCTACGTCCTTGTATTCTTTTCTTTTATCTCTCATTCCACTGTGTGGGGAGGTGTTTTGATAAATGTAAATCAGAGACTTAGTAAGAATTTGCTATTCCAAGCATAAATGTGCCCTTCTCTGGATGCATCCTTTCAGTGATTCACTTCAAACAAACCACAAGTTTTTAAATGTTCCCACTTGGGAGCACATCAAACAATGGCATGGACAACAGGAAGGAGCTCTGTGCAGTGGGACTTCATGGAATGTAGTTGTGTTGAACTGCAGCTGTACAGGGCAGAGTGGAGAGGTTGAGCAGGCATAGCTGTTGGTGGACAGGAGGAGAGCACTGTGTGCTGCTGCAGAGTTTTCAAGTCAGACTCCAAGGCCTGTGTTCTCCTGATAGCTCAGCATCTCTAATTGCAGCTGGTGTCTGAGCAGCACAGCCAGAGCTGCACTCTGAGCACGTGTCCTTCCCCACATCTCCTCGTCTGCTGGGAAGTGGCACTTCCAAATCAAATCTTGGGTTCTGAGAGTGCAACGCTCCCCTGTGAGTATTGCATGCAGAGTGGAGAAGGACTTTGTGCTCTGCGGTGAGCAAAGAAGTTTGCTGTTAAAATGCAGCACTTCTGTTACTACATAATCCCTTTACCTTTCCAGAACACCTCTGAAGGAGGAAGGCTTCTCTGAATTCAGCTAAGATTGTTTTAAAGAATATTAAGCACGTCAGGTATGTTGGTAACAATTGGCAGCAGGTGATACATGTCAGTGCATAGTATCATGAGGCAGTGCACCATCAGCAATCTGAACCAGACTCCTCCACACAGCCAGAGATGTGCCAGGGCTCCTCTGCCCTGCCAGGCATTGGCACCAAAGCTGCACTGAGCTTTGCAACAGGCAAAACTGCATTTCTGTGCTGAACTACAGGAGGGTGATGGGTGACAACAGAAGGTGGCACATTACTGCTGAAGGGCTGAGCTGGGAGCATGGGGATAATGGGGGCAAAAGGCTGCAGCTGGACTGCTGAAGGTTTCTAGGTGCCTCATGTTTGGAGAGACCTGATCTCAGTGAAGAACCATGGTTAGTAAACAGTGTGCATTTTTTGATAACAGCACAGAATGCCTGGTGAAGGAGGAGGGAGAATGAGGTTCTTCATCTTTGTTCCATAAGTAAGAACAAGCAGAATCTGTGAGGCTAGATGGAGATAAATGTGCCCTAATAGTATATACACAGGGGACAGAAAAATCTGTTTCCCCTTACAGTTTTCTATATGCACAAGAGGATGCATTTTTAGCTGAAGATGCAAGAGGAAAAGAAATGGCTTCAGTGTCCTTATGGCCATGCATCTAAGGCCACGTTTGCCAGAAATAACTCTGAAACCTCTACAACAGACACTTAAAACACCACAGTGATAGAGAACAGGCTCAAAAATCATCCCAAATTGCAGTCATAATGGAGGTCTGCAGGTGATCTGTAATGGAAGCCTGTAGGTGCCACGCTGCGGAGCTGCAGAGTCGCACAGTGCCTTCCTGCCCTGCCTTCCTCTATGCAAGGATGCTGACCTACATTCCTGTGGTCCTGCAGTGCCTGGAGTCACAGCGCTGCCCGGAGAGTAGCCCTGGGCATCTGGCCCTGTGTGGGCACTGCGTGGCTGGGCAGTGCTGGTCCCCTGTTTGCTGTGCTGCAGTTCCTCCATAAATAAACTGGTGCTTTGAAAGCGGAGGCCATGGGCAAACTGGGAGCCTGGGCTTGGATGCAGGGGAGCCTGGTTATGTGTGAGAACAGCAGTGATTCTTCAGGATGTCAGCATCGGTGTTGAAACCTCTGCAGTGATAATGCACTCAGATATGCCTTGCTCCTTTGCTGGCACTTGCTCTTGAAGTAGCTTTATTGGAGCTGTTAATGAGGATTTCTCACAAGACACTACATGTATTTCCAGAAAATATTGAAATACTAATTTCTTTTTTAATGTCTGAAAAAACTAATCAGTGTCAGAACAGCTCTTCACTGGAGCAACTTTGCCAGGGTAAAAGTAAATGTATTCAGTGATGGAACAGGACTACAGTTAGGAAAATATATAGCTCTCTCTCTATGTAGTGCATCCAGGCCTAAGTCCTCTTCAGAGCTTCCTCCCCAAGATAAAAGCTCAAGAAAGAAGAAATAAGTGAATGAAGATGTTCTGTGCAACTGTAACACATTCTGTTTATGCGCATAAGTTACACACAACTGTGCTTACACTTCTGCTCAGATTACTACATTTTGGGTATATTGAAAGCAACTGCAGAGGCTGTAAAATGAGAACTGCTTGGAAGCTGAGTCCAAACAGCACAGAATACATCTGACCTGCAAAGCCCTCCAGAAATGCCACTGAATCAGACTACAGCAGAGTTGATTAAACACCAATATAACCCCAGGAAATTGCCCAGCCATGTGGGATGCACAGTGCTCTGAGTGCACCTAGTGCTGCTCCTCTAAAAGAAGTCATCATCATCCCAAGCACAGAAGGGCAATAATGCTCCAGACTGCTTGTGGGCCAAAAAAGAAAGCAACACAAAGTGAGGAAAGCTGTGAGCACTGAGAACTCAGCACAGGTTTACTATTTCTGTCCCTGCTTTTATACATATGAATGACTAGGGGGTAAGCAGCACTTACCATGCTCGTCCAGCAAGATGTTGTCAGGCTTGATGTCCCTAAGAGAGAAGGAAACAGCCATTCAGCTGGGGATGTGGCATGAAGAAATGCTGCGGGAGATTTCTGAGTAACCAAGCTGTAGGCTGTAGAGGGAATTACACCTTAGAAAAATCTTTTGTTGGAGTTCTTCAGCTCTGATGTTTCTGCAGGGTTTGATTTCAGCACAGGAGAAAGCAGCTTCTCAAGCAGCAAAAGCAGAAATAGAGGTAGAGATGTGACTGCCAGGGCCAGCAGCACCCGGATACTCCAGCCACAGTGTCAAAAGCTGCTTTTTACCTTTTTCGTTACTTCATACTCTGTCTCAATCTAATACTCTATGGAAGTTGTTTAACGTTTACCCAGTAAAAATCACATGTTGGAGTGAAGCAGACAAATGGCGTCCATTGTTGCTCTTATTCTTTTGGCATCACTGGAGCCATTCAGCTGCAGGTGGAACATCAGAGTGGCACAACAAGGAAAGTGTTTGTGTGCCTTAATGGCACACAATGGAGTTTCTGCAATGAGGGACAAAAGGTGCAAAAGCAGGAAGGCTCTCTAAAAAAAGTGTGCTTTGTATTACAGGAATAAAAACTACAAAATCAGAATTGCATTCATTTAAATGCTTGCCAAATTTCTACCTTTGGCTTTTAATATGTAGACCCTACAGAAAGTAGAACAGATGTTCTGATGCTCTGATTGGGATTTTATTTATTAATGCTTTCATTTTCTTCAGAAGGATAAAAGTCACCCATGCTGCTGCTTATAAACTTCTTTCCTCCAGGCTACTGAGAAATTGACACAGCAGGGAAATTCATCACCACTGCATCTGATGCATCTCAGTTACCAACTGTGGGCACACTAACAAATACCTCACCCTTGGGGTAACAGCAGGGAGCGTGAGGGGCATCAAAGGTTGGAGAATTAAAATACGAAGTGAGGAGAAAAAGGATGAACAAAATACGGCTTGTGCTCTACAGCACAAAGTGACAGTGATTGTAATAACAAATTGTGAAAACAGCCCCATCCCATACGGGAGAAATGGAAGGAATAACCTTAAGAGGAACCCGTTCCTCTGTGGAAGTGCTGCAGAGAACCCCGCTTCCAGTCCATGAGAATGTGGCCTGCTTTCTCTGTCTGCTACTAAGAGAACAGTGAATGGAAATGAGTAAATGTCATTCATTTTGATTAGAGGGAGCTGCAGATGCCTGGCTGAGCTCATCCCTGCCGTGAGCTCTGGAAACAAACTGGTTCCTGCAGGCTTTGTTCCTGAACAAAAGAGCAACAAACCCCTGTAGCAAAGCTGTAATAAAAGGCGTTCAATTGAAGGGAGATGTACACCTGATACACCTCCTGAGTGCGCCTGAATGGCTTTACAAGATATTAGCTGCTCTTAATGACCTAATTACACCAGCACCCATTGCCTGCTCTAGCACTGAGCCAGCACAGCTCTGGGCGCTGTGGGAGGTGCGGAGTGGGGGCAGCACAGCGATGCCCTGGGTGTGCAGATGCTGCACAGGGCACGGTGAGGAGGGAGCAGCTTTCAGCCTTTACAACTGCATAAGGTACACTTTGACCTCACCTGGCCATCTGTGATCCAGGAGAAAACATATATCTGATTACCACATAGCTGCTTTCAGTCCTCTGCAATCCTGCTCCTCCTGGGCTGAGCACAGACCTTTCCTAGCCTGAAAAGGTTAACAGCCATTTCCTACCTTTCTGTGTACAGAGAGAAATAACTGAAGCCATCGCTCTGCTGTCTGCACACAGCGCTGTTCAGACAATGTGAACAGTTGTTTACATCTCTCCTGCCATTCCCAGCCATTCCCAGCTGTGGATGTTGCACTCCTCAGCTGAGTCCCTTTACCTGATACTGTCCTGCTGAGATACAGCGTTTATTAAATCTCTTGCAAATTTTGCAGCTCGCTGGACATTTCGTGGAACCATTGTACTGTGATACTGTACTGCATACAGCTGCTTGAAATACGCCTTGTGGATCAGACTCAGCCTTTGGGGACCTGTCCTTGGACACATGTGCACTCCACCTCCACAATCCAACCTGTATTTGCAGAGAACCCTCTGGGAAATCGCAGCAGCTTTGCCCCCAGGCTCTTCCCTGTGTATCTGCAACTGGAGTGGGTGCTGGGGCACTGCACAGCTATGCTGGCATCCCCATGCCCAGAACAGGGACCATCAATTCCCAGTTACCTCTCACCTTTACCAGGTGCAGTTTTTTTCCTGAACAGACTTTTCCTCAGATCATAAATTGTGCAGCTCTTCCTGCCCACAAGCCCTGGAAATGCCACTGATTGCAACACATTTCTGGTAGAGAAGATTTCCTCCGTATGCTTCTCTTGTACCCATGTCTGACACGATTTATTTAGACCAAGCCTGCAGCACAAAGATTTGCTCCTGGCTGCCCAGGACAAAGGCAGCTCAGTGTGCGCTTCCCAATGTTTAATTCATGCTCATCCATTATTAGGTGACTCAGGCAGGTGTGGGGTGGAGGCACAGCTCAGTGCCCGCTGTCTCCCCGCTGCACGCAGTGCTGGAGCAGAGCAGGGTGCCGGCTGCTTGCCAAGGTCAGGGTACTGTGGGGCAGAAATCTATGCAGGTATTCATACAAACAAAGAAGGACTCATGCAAACAATCCAAGAGGGATGAAAAATAAGACTCTGAGAAACTGGCAGCTGTATGTAAGGAAGCCTGTCTCGTAAGAAAGAAGAGCAAAATCTTTTTGGTCCGCTGAGGTTCTCTGCAAATGAGGAGGGCCCACCGGAGCATGGAGGCAACCTTTCTGCTTTCACACATCAGGAATGGCAGGTGTATGCTCCTGGACAGAAGCAAGTGCTCATCAGCCTTGAATAGTGCATTCCTTCTTTTGCTAACCACCAGGATCATGTCAACCCTAAATTTGTGCCACGCTTTATTTTTTACACCTCACAAGAATGCTGTCTCTGGGATTATAAATGTGATAATTTTCTGCCCTCGCCCTGTTTTTTAACCCATTCTGACTCCATCCCTGCTGATGCCCTAGTTATCCAAATCTGAGCCAAAAGTCTTGGACCTCTGAGGTTTACATCACTTAATAAATCAGGAATGGGAAATGTCACACGAGAGAAATGCTTTTCTCTGAAAAATGTACACCGTTTTACACAAAAGCCAATGTACGTGGGGGAGTTTGTTTAGCTCTGAAGGTTCTGCTTGTCCTATCAAATCATGGAGGAAAAATCAGCCCCTTCTGCAGCCCACGAATTCCACCCGCCTATGGAGGACCCAGCTGACCTGTGGATGATGTGTCTGCTCTGGAGGTAGTCGAGGGCCAACACCAGCTCACAGATGAACAGTTTCACAGTGCCTTCCTGGAATCGCACGTTCTGTTGGAGGTGGTACCGCAGGTCCCCTCCGAGCAGCAAGTCTACCACCATGAACATGTCCTCTTCGTCTTGGAATGAGTACCTGCCACGGCATAAACATGCTCAGAGGTTTCTCTAGCTAACAACAGACTTACCAGGGAGCAAAGGAGAAATGCCTTACCAGAGATTAACCAGGAAGGGGTGCTCCAGGCCTTGCATGATCTGCAACTCCTTGAAGACATTCCTCACTTCATTACGCTCCACACACTTCTGCTTGTTCATGTATTTCATGGCATACATTTTCTTGGTGTCATTCTTTTGTACGACACAGACCTAAACGAGTAAATGAGTGATCCATCAGAGATGATTTGCCAACAAATCAACACAGATGAAGCATGGCCTCTGGGTGTCTTTCACAGAGCCCCTCAGCCAAGTCCAGCTCCATGTGCTGCTCTGCAGCTCAGACATTGCCACTGAGTACCTCAGCGAACACTTCATCCCATGTTGTCCCAAAGGACAGTTTTTGCTGTGGGAGGATGAGGGGAAGGAACGTATCACTGAAAAACTGAGCCTGTGAGTGTGCAAAACCAAATATTTAGGGTTTTTCCTCCTTTCTCTCTCCAGATTTCTTTCCATGACAGTTTGGGGATGAATTTGCAAAGTTTTGATCAACCTTTTTTGTTTTTCCACCCACAAGTCTTTCTCTCACTCTGTACATGAGGTACATCTCAGTTATGGGATCTGTGTGCCCTCATGAAAAGGGGAAATGACCTTTGAAATTTCTGCTAACATCTAAAACCATGAAATTTCATAACAATAAAAATAAAACTGATGTGACTGTAATGTGATGCTTAATGACAAACACTGTTTCACAGACAGATGTTCCCTTAAAAAGATACCACCAAGGCTTTTATGTGGGTGTAGCCCTTTGCTAAATACATATCATGATATTCAGTGTTTTGCTGCAGAAACTTGGGAGATGTTTATCCAGAAACACAGACAATTCAGGCCGTTTGATTTATCACTGTTTTGTGTTAACCTCCTGTAATATCGTTTGTGGTTACGGAGTGGATGAAGAATTGGCTCTGATTCTTTCTTGACCAGCTTGATGAGCTGATGCTCAGTAGATCTCACTGACAGTGCAGCATTTTTTCTTCTCTTTGCTCTCATTAAAGCCTCTCTAATTTCCCCCTCTCCGTTGTTTCCAGCTCTCCCAATGCTGATTCACTCACACACTACTTACTTTTCCAAAGCTGCCCTTCCCAATCGCTCGCAGTATCTCAAAATGGTCGAAGGTGACTGCAAGAAACAGCAAACATTCAAATGCAAAATGGCTGAGCAGCAGTTGGATGAAGTTATTTCTAATTCTTCACAAGAGAAAAAAACCTGAAGTGTTCTCCAGCATCTTGCTGTTGTTTTTGAAGACACGGGGTTGTTTAAAATTTGGGGTTTCGATTTTTCTTTCCAGCCCATCTGCCCATTCAAAGCACAGCACCTGCGCAGGTCGCTGTGTTGCTCCAGAGAGCATTTATTCCTCAGCCATAGGAGCTGATACGGCACAAAGCGCCTTGAACCAGGCAGGACTCAGCAGAGGGAGCAGACAAGGAAAATCAGATTAGTTTCCGTCTCACAGCCTGGACACAGCACCCCGAGGAAGGTGGTCAGGAAAGAGAGAAGTGTCAGCCGCCTGAGTTAGCACAAGCAGTGTTCATGAAAGAAGATGCCAGTATTCGACATTGGATGTGCCAGGAATGAGATCTCCAGGAAGGTCTCACACCACTGATGTTTTTTCTCCCTCGTGTCTCTATCAGCTGTGCCAGTAAACTTCAGTACAGAGGAATCCTGATCAGATCTGCCCTAACTGCCCTTCCCCACATGTGTAGCACTCAGCATTTCGTTGGGCCTGATAAACATCACACATTTTCTATGAAGCATTGGAACAAACTCAGAATTTCACTCGGGAAGAATTTTGACTGTTCATTTTTAACAATTCAAGATTATTCAATATTTGATTGGCATTCTTCTCTGTGTAAGAACAGTTTATAAGTCATCTAAGTTCTCATCTCTTGTTTGTATTTTATTTGTATTATCTATGCACTTTGTTACTGTACTCATGGGAAAGCCCATATGGAAGTTAATGAGCTCAGTCATGCAGCAGGAACTATATTTATGGAATGATCCTTAAGTGCCACCTCTACCATTTGGCAGCAGCAAAACCAGCCTGCGTGGCTGCTCTCAGTGCCCCTCCCGCTGGGGCTGTCGGCCCAGCTCTGCAGCAGTTCTCCCACCGAACCTAAAGCTCTGAAGGACACACATCGCCGGGCTCTTCTGCTGCTCCTCATCCCACTCCTTGAGCTGTGCTCCAAACAAACCTTCCTTCCTGCAGAACAGCATTTTCTCCCCTGCTCTCAGACTGCCTGGCAGCGTCCCCGGGCATCTCAAAGCACCCCCCCCGAGTGCCCCCATCCTGTGCTCAGCTCGTGGCCACCGACAGCCGGCCCAAAGGCGCGGGGCTGCAGCACGCCTGACGCTGCTGTGCCTCGCTGGGGTGCCCGGAGCTGGGCTGACTCCTAGCCGTGCTGCCCTCAGGATATTCTATGCGGACTTCGCAGCTTCAGACACCAACCGCTCTGCAGAGCGGAGCTCTTACCTTCTTCATTCTCACCGAAGGGCAGCGACTTGCTGGAGGTGTTTGCTCCCATGCTGCCTCCCGCCCAGAATCAGCTCTCCCGCTCCTCCCCCTGACGTTTCTCCTACGAGCCCGGCGTTTGCGGGGCTGTCATCCCGTGGGTCACTGCTGGCGGGCCCGCGGCAAGGTGCTCTGCTGGTGCATCCTGGGGAAAACAAGAGGCGAAATGTGTCACCATTGAGGTTTGAGAAACACTTCGCAGCCCATACATTTCCTACTGAACACTGAGAGCTCTGGGGACAAAACTGAAAATCAGAAAAAGCACAGCAAAATGGACCTGAGCAGAGAAACTCAGGAAAAGTGTAACCTTGCCTCCTTGACCAGAGCAGCTGCCTGCTGAGTGAGGTGAGGTACAGAGACCAGGGACCTGCTGACCAGAGACAGCAGGGCAGCAGCCTGAGGGCGTGCCTTGTGTTTGCAGCATCATCTAACGCACGGAGCTTTGCAGCCCTGGTGCTGTTATGACCAATTTAGAGATGATAAAGCATGACTAACCACAGCGATGTCAGTATACAAAATTAATGACTTGGATACATGAAATCAGAAAGGCATTTTTGACCAAGAAGGTTGCAAGTTTTAACAACTGTACGAGGAACTCAGTGTCCATCTTTTGATTTAAACGGCACAGGTTTTAATTTCCCAATTCTCCCCCAGACATCTCTGTAAACTGGAGCACATGGTTCTTGTAGTTCAGTGACATTAAAGATTGCTTTCACAGACTTATGTGGGCGCAGTGGCAGCTTTGATTTTTAAAGCATTTACATGAGAGTGATCTTTATATGCTTGCTTTGCTATGGACATCCATGTGAAGCACACAGCATTTATTTCTGCTTGTAAGCCTGTAAAATATTGAAATGAAGGAGCAGCAATGCAGCACAATCTGGACTTTGTCCAACCTGGAGTACTTTCCAAGACATTCACATTTCCATTGAACATCAGGGTGCAATGCAGCTTATTCATTTTTTCTCAGACGTACACTCTGGAAACACTGAGCAGCTTCGCTTTTTTACCTGATGGTAACAAAATCGTGCCAATGATACACAAAGGAAGAGATCATCCAAAAAAGTGTTGGAGAAAAGGTAATTATTTGCACCATGCAAGGAATGAGGGCTGCCATTGGTTCCACACACCAACTCAGCTCCTCCTCAGTGAACTTCAGCTTTATCTCTGCTGCTCAGCCGGGAGCTCAGCTCCAGCCTCGTGCCCTGGGTCAGATCAGCAACCTTAAGCAAGTGCCGAAGCTGGTCTGAAATTTAAAGCTACCTCTGTATTCATGGATCTTCCTGCACTGCTCTGCAGGGATGCAAAATCCATCCCCATCGTTGCAGTCCTGGGAGTCAATCCGCGGCTCAGCCACACGCTGCATGCAGCAGGGTTTGCCACGCCTCGGTCAGATGGAGCTGAGAGCTCCCAGCACTCCCCACATCTCCTCAGCTCTCCCAGGGGCATCTCGAACAAAGCAGATGCAGCTCACAGGGTGTTTTACAAAGCCGAATGCAGCCCACCGTCCTGCTGTGGCTCACACAGTGCTCACGATTTGTAGCAAAGGTCAGGGAAGCTTACAGTTCACAACCCTCCTCCCCCTCCAAAAAGCAGTTTTTAAAGAAGGTGAATTCTTGACTTCTTGCCTGAAATGTGATCAAACAATAAAGCAAACAAAACAGCAGATGTTTATGATACCCCTCAATGGAACAAACAGTGCCACCAGTCTGGAACAAAATTACGCAAGCACATCTTTCCAAGCTCCAAAACTTGTGCTTCAAAGTAAAAATACACCTTGAGAGATAAAAGCCACAGGTCAGTTCTGCACACAGATGCTTCTACATCAGAGATCTCATCGGTGGCACCAAGGTCGTCTGCTCTGGGAGGTTTGCTTGTGAAGAAGTCTGTAGCTTAATTTGTTTTTGAAAATACGTTGATCTAAAAGCTTTGGGGAAGGGCTACAGGTATTCCTCAGAGCTAAGTGGTCTGGATAACAGTTACTAGGATTTGTATCTTTATAAGAGGCACTCAATATATACATACTCAACAATGATAAATCTTTTCCTATTTCACCATGCAAATTCACTGAATGATTAAAATCATCATTTTCATTAATGCCTTCATGTCTTGTTCTCGGAGCACTCGTGGCTCTGCAGGCACAGTGGCAGCAGCTCTGTCCATCAGGGAGCAGGCAGTTTCACTCAGATACAGCCATCACTGTCAGGCAGCTACTGAGCTTCCTCTGAAGAGGACCACTCGTGGGCATCCAGGAATTATTTCTCTCATCACCACTCGATTGCCAAAGTGGTGGGATGCTGCTGTTCTGTTGAGCAGACGGAACTGTGCAGTAACATTACAACACGCTATTACTTCAGTACTGACATCTCTGTCCCACAGAAACTAAAGATTATTTGGAACACTTGAGCAGCTGCAGGGAAGTTCGGAGGAGGAAAGCAGATATTGCTCAGTGTCATCTTTGTTTCTTGCCCTGTTGCAGCCGTTCACCTTGTAGCACAACTTCCCTACTGCAGAAAGTGACCAAGTTAATGGTCACATGGAAAAAAGAAAATATTGCAAGCTGCAGAACCGCACGGGAGACCCCACACAGAACTTAAGGGAAGATAGCGGGGGACACAGAGCAATGCTGAAGCAGACCCGTCAGGAGCCCCAGAGATAGAGCGAAAGAAAGCGCTTACCTCGCGGGAGGGGAGGAAGCGGCAGCGAGACGGGGCGGCAGAGCGGCTGCAGCTGCGAGGAGGCGAATGGTGCCGCGAGAGGATGCGCTGGGATGCGCTGGGATGCGCTGGGTTGGGTCCCCGCCTCTGGCAGGAGAGCTGCGGGGGGTGGGGAGGCCGAGCCCAGCGGGGCGCGGGGCTGCGGGTGCGGCGCCGGGATCGGCGCGGAGCGATTTGGCAGCGGGGCGCGGCTGCGGAGCTCCGCCGGCACGGCGCGGCTTTTGTCCTCTTCCCAGATCAGCAATTTTCAGCCGCTCTGCGCGTGGCGTTTCCTGCCACGAGAGAAGGACGATCCGGTCGTCCGCCACAATGGAAAACGTTTTGACAATTCGAGATGTGTTTGCAAACTGTTCCCTTTGTTGCTGCCTGTCTGGGTTTTATTTCTTCTTTTTAACTCGTGCAGTGCCAGAGATTTTTACTGCTTTTATTACGAGAAGGTCCGGGATTCCATCCCACTCAGGTAGGTGCACTACATCGCAAAGCAAGGATCTGTCCTCTTCGAGAAGGGATTGGCCCCGCAAGGCGCTGATGCTCCATTACTTCTCTAGTTTCGAGCACTGCCCACTTCCCGTGCTTTGCGTGATTTGGTGGGACTTCACGGTGTGAAGGTGAGCAGAACCCTGTCAGAGACAGCCTGGGTTACTCTGCTCGTGGCACTGCTGAGTCCCGGTGGCACCTCTGTCTGCTCTTCCAAACTCGTTCCTATCTGAACTCGTTCCTATGTAAAAGGGCAGAGACCACATTTCTTGTCCTTTTGCTCGTGTTCTTTAGGTACTGACTTCTCCCTCATTCACAAGATCTTGGCATGTGCTCGTACCCCTGGGGCTCCCAGGGAGAGCAGCTCTTCCTCCAGGGCAGCTGAAAACGTCAGAGTGATTAATCCAAATTTAACTGCCTTCATTTATTACTTGGAGAAGAACCAACGAGCTGAAACACATATTGGGTTCCCCTGAAACGATCTGAGTTTTAGAGAAATGCACAAAATCAGATTGGCTCATAGATGAGCACAAGGGCTGAAAAAGAAAGCAGAGCTGCGTGCAGCGGTGCGGCTCCCATCCGCCACTGAGCAGCGGAGGGCACTGCTCGTCTGCCCCTGCAGAGAGATGAAACAGGATTGATTTTCCTTAGGAGACAGGGAGCCCAATCTCTTCTAGGTGAGACTGCGTTTAATCTCCATTAAGAGAAGGCACATTCAAAAAAATAATAATTTCCTCCCCCCTTCCCCTGTTTGCTTCAGACAGCAATTGAGCTCTCTTTGAGGAGTCAGAACTGCGAGGCGGGCAGCTCGGAGCCGCGGCTCTCCGGTGCCGCCCAACGGAGCAGAGGCGAAGCGGTCCCTGCGCTCTGGAGGACCGCGCGGCGCACCCAGCGCTGCCCGCTTTCAGCTGCGCACCCTTCCCCGTCCGCTTCCCCGTCCCCATCTCCATCACCCATCGTCCCTTCCCCGCCCGTCTGCAGCTTTGCATGCACAGCAGAACGAAATGCTCCAGAGGGGCCAAGAGAGCAAAGAAATTAGAGAAAAACGTTTTATTTTCTTTCACTCTTCTAAAAATTTCACTGTTCAGCCAATTATGAATTATTTTCCTTCAGGAACCAAACTCACTTTTAGCAATAGCTTGCCAAGCCCAGGATGTTTAACCTCATTTACAGTACGTATTTTCTGGAACATTAAACCCTAAAAGGATTGAAAATTTATTCAGCATCCATATCTCAGCTGCAACCCTCGGCAATGTTTAACATTATGTCTTCCACAGACCGTGTTTTAACAGCCATTGCTAGCCTGTCATGGTTTGAATGGGCTCACTTTAACAAGCACCCAAAAAAGATCGAAGCGCCCATGCGTCCCCCAAGGTGGGGGAAGGAACAGCACTATTCTTCTGAAGGGTCTTTAAAAGTCATCAGAGATTGGATTTGCTTAAGAAAAATCTTGAGAGGAGACTCCTTCTCCAAGGACACGGTTTCAAGTATGACTGCACAAAAACATCACTGTCTTCCGCAGCTCTTGTGAGCCAGTGCCAACATTGCGCTTTGGCTTGAGTAAAGGCTTTGGAAAGCTCTAGACAGAGATGGATAAGCTGAACAATGAGAAGCCCTGTTAGGCTTTGGAGGTTTTTTATCATTAATGTGACAGATACATTTACACCTTTCATCCCCAACAATCAAGAGGCCCAGCGCCTCTGGGCTGCACAGTGCGGCTCCTCCCACAGCCAGGACGACCTTCTCTGGGCAGTTCCAGTCATCTTACACAGCAGCTCGACCTTTGTCCTCTCTTTAACCCTTTGCTCATCTCCCTTGG